TATTTAATGTTTTGTCCAATTTGTCCAAGGACATCTTCCGAAAGATGGATGGCTGCCTGACTGGCATGTAGTCCTGTGATGCATTGACACTGGAACTGCCTGGATCTACAACCTGTTACAAACTCCACTCTAGTCAGACTGTGCCTGAGCTTCCACGTCCTAAGAAAATGGAAGTGGCAAGATCTCATTCACCGAGTTCCATTCGAAGCTTGGTCCGCAGTAGCCTCTACGTCTCTATGTGCACAGGCAGGAGCCTCGATGTGGTGACCACGCCTGGTGCCAGCAGTGTACGGACGGTCAAAGAAGCCAACTGTTGTTTTCTCGTCGTGCTGCCCCAGGAGTTGTAAGTCTCTCGGCTTCGACCTGAACGACGAGATGCTGCTGCTCAGCGGCAGTCAGTCTGTGTACGATGTTCGATCAGGAAGGGCCAGACAGACATGTGATATCATCAATTCAGGCCCATCGCCCACATAATCTTAGAGGCTGCGCATTGCTCATCATAGTTGAAATATATGTTGGTTGAAGCCGATCTCAGTGTCTACGCGGCGGAAGATGAGCTCCTGAAGCCACTGATTAATTACCGGGCATGCTGGCGAAAGACACAGAGCTGACATCTGCGCATCCGAGGAAAGAAGTGTTTGACACGATTGACGTGAAGTCCCCAGAGCTTGAGTCCATCTGCATCTGAACCAGATTGTGGTCGACACGCAGCTCCGTATGTCGCAAACTATGACCATGTGTGACATTGACATTGCAACCGCAGTCTACGAACCAACAGCCACTCTAGGTGATGTTTGATGCAGTTTTCCAGATCCTTAGAGGTGTAATTCGAAAGTGGCAGCTCCTGCTGTCTCGTTCGCCTACCTTTGCCACCTATTCCACGGTCAACCATCTGCGAAATCGGGAGGTCCAGCGAGCCAAGAAGAAGAAGAGAAGGAAATTGACGGAGGAGGAGCCAGATCAGCCAGATGTCACTGCAGAGTAGCGCTGGCTCAGTGTCATGGAAGCAGTTGCTTCCCTACTGCACTGCGGCACAAGGCCCACAAGGCCTCAATAAACTTCGGTTGTATCCGCTCAGAGGCTGAGCAAGATGCAGAGCATGGAATTTGTTGTTCCATTGACTTATTTAAGGTTCGCCTACCCGTAGGAGCCATTGAATTGTAAGATGTTTCAGCGCAGTACTCTGCATGGAGTTGACCAGTCGCATGAGCTGCCCAGGAGCAGGAGGAGATCATTGCAGAAGCAAAGGCGCCGCGTGGCCGCAGCACTTGTCAAATATGTTGTCATTGAAGATGCCATATGAGGCATTGTGCGGCATTGTGCAGGTCCCGAAAAGGATTTGTCGCACTTACGCTACGGCGACTGTATACTGAAAGGCATTAACTCCAGGCATTATGTTATAGAGACGGCTAAGCCGCTCGGAGTCATCCTTCTAGTTTAAAATGCACACTCCTGATCCACGAAGCTGAGGAGACAAGCCGAGGATCCGTCTGTGACCTGGCGTGAGTCAAAAGTATGAATCAAATGAATCAAATTACACCACCGAAGACCCCAAACAGTCAAAGGCGCGTCAAAGAAACAGCGGAGACGACGGGAGACAAAGGGAGACGCAGGGAGACAAAGGAAGGCGAGGAGCACAGCAACCCGGCAAAGCCATCCACATGAAGGGAGACAAAGGGGACAAAGGGAGACAAAGGGAGACAAAGGGAGACAAAGGGAGACAAAGGGAGACAAAAGGAGACAAAGGGAGACAAAGGGAGACAAGGAGCCCAGGAACCCGGCAACAGTCCTCAGAACGTCGGCAATCCTTAATGATTTTAGAACCCCAACAGTAGACTGTTTGGGGAAAAAGGGCTGTTGAAGCCTTGACTTCAAAGCATTCAAAACTGTCGCAAACTCAATCTTGACTCTGGGAGCAAAATAGCTTGCGCTGAAACCGAGAGCCCCCCCCCCCCCCACCCCGGGACTCGAACCTGAAACTGAAGCTGAGTCACTCTCCTCTCTCCCTCCCCGAAGCTGAAACTCTTCATCCCCCCGGGAACCTGCAACCGACGCTAAACCACTGAATTGAAATCGAAGCAGAAACCGAATTGGAAGCCTCCCCCGCAAAATGCCCAGAACCCCATGTTGGAAGAGAAGCCGAGACTATGACCCCCCAACCTATCGAAGTTGATGGGCTTGAGGTTTAGGCTCTGAAGATTCGTTCTCGCTGTTGAAGGCTCGGGTATGCTAAGGCTTGGGGTGTGTAGCTTTGGGATTTTGGTCCCAGCGAAGCCCCGAACCCGAAACCTGTTGTTCCAAACTCCCGAAGCTACACGCTACACCTACACCCCAAGCTTTAGCACTTTAGCATACGGAAATTGCCACAGAAAGGTTTTGCAGGTATCCAGGTATCCAGGATGTTCTCTGCAGGCATGCAGGAGAGGGAGCAGCAATCTAGTCTAAAGTTTTGCGGAACGGTCGGCTCTAAGGGCACCAGAGCCGCAGAAGCCAGCAAGAACGAGTCTTCAGAGCCTCAACCTCAAGCCCCAGCAATTTCGATAAATCGTTAGCTCTCATAAACAACGCACTTTACTGCATGTACCCCATTGTACACCCTCGTGTTGACAGACAAAACCCACAATATCCGACGCAGTTCTGAACATCCTCCCTTGGACGCTGCAACGTGTGTATAACGCCTAGACTCTCCCTTCAGCACAAGCCTCTCTGGGCGAGGGCAGGTTGCCTTGCACCTGATGGCACTCTGATGGTAACACAAGAGACATCAAGAGACGAAGGCAGCAGATGTTCGTTACTCCGTTGCTGCATCTGGTTACGGCGTACTCTTGTGTCTACAGCTTTGCCATCCTCGCATTAGAAATGTTGAAACTCCAGGTGGAGATCCCTGAGTTCCTGGACGGCTTTCCGAAGGGACCGCCCTGTTTCTGAGACACTACCCTCCTTGTAACTTTTCGTGAATCTACTTGCCGGTTGTAATGGGTTCTGATGGTGCAAGATTTCAGCATATTTCCCAGTTAAAGTATAAGTAGATGATTGAATTCTATCACATTCAACACACCATGCTAAGTTTTCTTCATGTCACCATGTGTCGAGCCTACTCGCTTGACAGGAGACATTTCATGCTGGCTGTCCCATGAAAAGGTCTACTACGACACTTGGCTTCTTCAGAAACAAGCTGCACAGCACACAACATGTGCCTGTAAGCCTCGAAGCCATTGGGGGCCAGGAGTGTCTCCCTGCCTCTCCTAAAGAAATGCACATGTCGTGCTGCGCTGAGTGCGGCTCCAACAAGAAGTACCTCAAGCAGCGGCGGCTCATTTACGATCCCTACGACGCTTGCCTGGGAGTTTGCTTTTCTTGTTGAGGCGCTGTGGCACCTCCATCTGGAATCCCAGAGGATGGGTTTTAAGCTGGCCATAGCTGCAAATCCCTGACATTATGTGGCGACATCACTCTTCCGCATTCCCGTGTGCCAAGCATGAGGCTGCCACGAACCGCGACTTCGAAATTACCTTCTCCGAGTTCAAGAAGGCTGCCCCATGGGATGTACAGACTTTAGTTGCAATGCAGCACAAGAATGTAGATCTGCGGCCCAGCTGCCGCCTGGACATGCAGCCCGTATACTTGTATGGCACACCAGAACATTCCTGTGCTTTGTGACTTTGTACAATCACAGACATACAGTAAGACGATGCAAACCATGCAAAGCTGCCATCTCAAGCCTGCCATGCCTCGATACATTCACGACAAAGCGAGAGCTCAGAGCATCCTGAGCATCCTGAGCATCCTGAGCATCCTGAGAGCTCTGAGAGCCTTCCGCACCCCCCCAAACAGCCTTTGGCTCTTTCGAGCCCCTCAAAAAATCCAAATCGCATGGACCAGACTGGGCCCTTTTCGCGCTGCACTGGGGCTTTTTTTACGAGCTTGGGGCCCCACGAGCTTGTATATGGTGCTACACGTGCCAGGCCTTCAACGCGGTCATCCAACCCAAGAAGCCCTGAGCTTTACAGGTAGTTTGCTGCAGTTTGTGGGACGTGTCCTTAAGTGGTGAGTAGTCTCCCAACATCCTGTTTGCCACGTACGCTTCGTTCATTTCTGATCCAATCTCGAAGCGCAGATGGACAAGAGGTGCTGCCTGCAGCATGCCAGATGACACTTTGTAGAGTCAGTAGAGCACAAGGTTCCACCAACTCCATTTAAGCCGACCGGAGCACATCTGGCGTGGTCGCCTTTGACTCATTCTCACCTTCAGCGATCCGGCAGTAACCAAAGCGTGTTGCTGCCCAGACGCCACCAACGGTGGCTGGCACTGTGCTGCTCCGAGCTACTCAGGTCATCGAGTCTTGTCGAGTTGGCCTTGGTGCATGATATGCTGTAGTAATATGTTATAGTACCATTCGTTGCCAAGCTTCTGACGCGATATGAAAACGGCGCAGGTTCTAGACCAGCGGATGCTGAAGTTTCACGGGACGCTGAAAGCAAGTAGCGTTGCAAGAGGAAAACTTCGTGGATGAAGTTCAAGGTTCATGTGCAGCACCAGGGCACCTAGCAAACAATGAGAAGCAATGATAGCCATGTTTGGCTGATGTTGGAATCGGTTGCCACGTTGAGTCCAGTCTACAGGGCCTCTGGGGCCCACAGCTACCTCGCGTAAAGACCCAGCACCCCCAGGCATCGAGAATCAAATTCCGAAGCACATTCAAAGTTCAAAGGCTCAAAGGCTCTCCAAGCAGGTCAGGTGGTTGTTGCTTGTGCGTGTCACTGTTTTTCTTCCGATGCGAAGCTGAAGGTCCCCGCGGGTCGGCTGACCGAGCAGTGCCTACAAAGACACACATAGCCTTCTAGGAAACATGACATCCGGTAGTCCTTAAAGCCTTTAGGCGACATCAGACAGGCTGCCCTGCAAGTTCATATGGTCATGTAACGGTTAGCTTGTATTATCCCCCGTGACAATCTCAGGGGATCTGTTGCGCAGGGCTTTTGTGCGCCAATCTCAAGCGATGCAATGTTGGCTGATTTCCGTCGTGGTCGTGGCGGTCTCCACGATGATCGTGCTTTTCGTATGCAGCTTCGACAGCCTGGAGCCGTCGCCTCAGATCCGGGTAACGCACTCATGTCATGTATTAAATTACATATTCAGAAAAATATATAATATTATATACATGCTACCGTAGACGCAGTATTTGTGTGGTTTGTATACATATTTTGCACTAGTATGTATGTCTAGAAGTGCAAGCACAAATACACATAAATACATTAACAAAACAACTAAGTATATACATACTGTTTGTGTGTGTATGTATGTATGTATGTATGTATGTATGTATGTATGTATGTATGTATGTATGTATGTATGTATGTATGTATGTATGTATGTATGTATGTATGTATGTATGTATGTATGTATGTATGTATAGATATATATGAGTTCGCGGATGTGTGGACCAGTCCACTTGGTAGGTATCAGCAGATCGGGCTTAACTACAGTTTCCTCAGTGAGAGCGTCGAGAAGGAGCCGATGCGAACACTACAAACGCTTGTTGCCCGTTTAAGAGCAAACTTAAAGCAAGATGCTTTGTTTAGATGTCACGCTTCACACCAGCATGTGAAAAAAAACATGTTTACAGGGACAGCTAATCACATGTTCGGGCTTTCATACATTGTTCCTGCGCAGTGCTGACGTGCTCCTTGCTCAGTGTAGATGTGTCTCATCCGAGCGCTGGTCGTACCCTGTTTTCATTCTGCCAGAGGAGCCTTACAAGCCTGGCAGCCGCCCATCTGGATCAGGTAGACTTCATTAAACGCTTGGGAGCCACGGAGCACGCGAAGCCATGACATGCCATGACCTTGCTGGATGTGTTGGCTCCAGAAAAACTTGTAGGTGTAGTGCGCTTAGCATGCGTCAAGGATACTATCTTGGCGTCACCAACCGGTTCATCAAGTTTCCACGGACGGCGGCTTGGCTGTAACGCCGGCTTCTAAAGTGGGAACATTGCCGACACCGAGCTTCTTCCGTAAAACCTGAGCCCACATTGGCCGACATGTCATCGTCCAGGTGCAGTCCATCAGCTTCATCGATGACTGGGCCGAGGGCCTCCAAGGGCCGGCGCTGCAGAGCCGGACGAAGGACGGTCTCACCGTGCACTTGGCCACTCAGACCAACCCTACTCATCTACTCATGCCCGGCCGATGATGAAACACATTTAAAAACGCCAGCGACGGGTAGCAATGTTGTAGCAAGTTTGCATGTGAGCCTGAGACTCTCATGCTGGGCATGGACTGAGAACTTTGCTTGCTTGGAACAGCCACTGCAGAGCGCCAACGACACCACAAGCACCACAGGCTGTTCTTGGGCCGCCTTTTCTGGAGGCTACATGTTTAGGTTGGAAGTTGCAGGCACTTTAGCATAGTGCGAGTTCCAGCTCAGATGTCCAAGGAAGTCTCCTTCCAGTACAAGTTGATCTTCAACCAGTTGTACAACTTGTCAGTGGCCCAGTCCGGATGTGCATCAGTATGAGCCCCATGAGCCTGCTCGGGACGGGCTTGGCCTGACTTCAGCAACGAAGGTTTCTGACAGAAGTTTGCTAGAATTTACCGTGAGGTGTCTGTGTATGTGCCGCTTGAGGTGGGCAACTCTGGGCCATGACCATTATGAGACAACTTTCACGCGGATGGCCATGGAGCAGTTGTCTACAGCCACCACGCATCATAATGCGCACTTCTTCTTCAGGCTCGGCCCGTAACGCAGTCTTACAAAGCGTAGCACATCAGCTCAGCTGCATTCGAAGCTGTTCTGCTGGCCATAAGTTGGATCTTGGCACTCCCACTGCCGGATCTTGAGTCACAGTAGTCACAGTTTCAAGCGTTCTCGGTCAGGAACCGCACCTACGTCAGCACAGAGATGCATCGAAAGCTTGACGACACGTGGCTTGCAGTAAGCAGATCTACGTAGTATCTAGTTATATATATATATATACATGCATGCCTCGCTGTGGAAAATGGAAGGCTGTTGTTGGATTTTTACCAGTACACTCAAGCCCAAGTTGCCCAAGAGAATTTGTTAAAGCCTGTGCGACTGCATCAGTTGATCTCATGGTTACTGCTTGTCAGAGCCTTTGATTGTTGCGTATCATTCGTGAGCATCGTATTTGCACGGAATCGGCAAATTTGGTCGGTAGGAACGACACATGTGAAGGACCTCCTTCCAGGCTTGCCATGCTCTTATTGTCACGCTCCTTTTCCTGCAGTATGACGATCTTCTACGATCTTCGTAATTGTTGATGCGTTTTGCGAACGTCTTTGTTCCCAGTCGTTTGCACAGCCGGAGGGGGTGTATCGGAATGGACCCGGGTCTGGCTTGTCGAAGAGAATATACTTATACAGTAAGCATAAGTACAATTCGCCTGCACCCCGATGCGGTGGCTCCTTTGTCGTTTTTGTTCTGAACGAAGCGTCGCTGAGCTCGTCAAGAACAAAAGCAGTTCCGTCAGGACCATTTCCGGAAGCATGCCTTCGCAGAGGCTTGGGAGCTTCACTGCTACGGATACAGGTAGGATTGCTGTACCCCGATTATTTGCTACGAGCAGTATTGCCGCCACAACCACTTACCCGCGGGTAGGTTAAGTCGTATCTACTTGTGTGAAGTCGTATCTCGGGCGCGTGCACACTGGGGATTCGCAAATTCCAAGATTGGTCAGAACCCACTTGCACCACCAAGCAGAAATCTCATTCACGACAACACCCCTCATCTTTAGGGGCAAAGTTCCTGGCGTGCAACATTCCACGACAACAGCCCAAACGAGCTCGCCACTTTCTAAACTTAAGCTCCGAGCCCACAAACCCTAAGCCAGGCAGAATGGAAACCCCAAAGGCAAGGTGCTGTCAGTTGATTGCCACAACATGGTTGTTCTTGCTGTCTCTCTGCAGAGTGCTTTAATTTCATTGAGGGCAACTGCTGTACGGAAAGCCGCCCCCTTCAACCCATGGACGCGCGGCCCTCGCAACGGCTTGCGCGGGACTTTCGCAGAAGCACATACGGTCACTACCCACATATAGACCTTGCAGACAACAAGCGCTTCTCTTTCGAGCGTGTAGTGCCAACTGCATACTTTGCATGTGTGTCGGGAACATGTGCATGTCGCGCGACTACTGACCGAACGCGGTTGTTTGAGGTCCAAGTCTCTCTCGCGCGCTTGCACTCGCAGAATGGCATCAATTGCTGTCTTTGTGCTCACACAAATGTGCTCCCCTCCCAGGCGTGCGGTGACAAATGCGTATTTTGCATGTGTGTCGAGAACATGCGCGTGCGGCGCGTGCACATTGGGGGAACGGCTTCAACATATGTCTTTGTGATGCGACTTTACGCGGGGTGATGTGACTTCGCTCGCGGCCGCGTGTCACTGGGGAGATGTGACTTCACACGCAAAGATGTGAGTTAACCTGGCCCCTAGTACTGCCAGCTTTGCTTATTTCACCATGGCTACTGCTTTCGTAATCACCATCACTGTTATCACTTTGCTGTTGCGGTAAACTTTCAGATTAGTAGTGATTATTACAAGTATTTGCTAGTAGAAATCAAGTAGTAGGTAGTAAGTAGCAAGTAGCAAGTCGCAAGTCACAGGTCGCAAGTAGGAAGTAGCCAGTAGGAAGTAGGAAGTAGTAAGTAGTAAGGAGTAAGTAGTAAGGAGTAAGGAGCAAGCAGTAAGCAGTACGTAGCAAGTAAGAAGTAGTGAGTAGTAAGGAGTAAGGAGCAAGGAGCAAGGAGCAAGGAGTAAGGAGTAAGGAGTAAGGAGTAAGGAGTAAGGAGTAAGGAGTAAGGAGTAAGGAGTAAGGAGTAAGGAGTAAGTAGTGGAGGTAGCACTAGAAGTAGTGGACGTAGTGGAAGTAGTGGAAGTAGTCGAAGTAGTAGAAGTAGTAGAAGTAGTAGAAGTAGTAGAGTAGTAGAAGTAGTAGAAGTAGTAGAAGTAGTAGAAGTAGAGTATACAAGTAGTAGAAGAAGGAAAAGTAGCAGTAGTAGTAGTAGTAGTAGTAGTAGTAGTAGTAGTACTACTACTACTACTACTACTACTACTACTAGTACTAGTACTAGTCCTAGTACGAGTACTAGTACTAGTAGTATTTGTAGTACTAGTAGTACTAGCAGTACTGTAGTACTAGTAGTACTGGTAGTACTAGTAGTACTCGTAGTACTAGTAGTACTAGTAGTACTAGTCGTACTAGTAGCAGCAGGAGTAGTAGTAGTAGTAGTAGTAGTAGTAGTAGTAGTAGTCGTAGTCGTAGTCGTCATCGTCGACGTGGTCGTCGTCGTGGTCGTCGTCGTCGTCGTAGTCGTCGTAGTAGTCCTCGTAGTCGTCGTAGCCGTACTAGTCGTCGTCGTAGTCGTAGTACTACTAGTAGTTCTGGTAGTAGTACTACTAGTAATACAGGAAGAAGAAGAAGTAGTAGTAGTAGTAGTAGTAGTAGTAGTAGTAGAAGTAGAAGTAGTACTAGTACTAGTACTAGTACTAGTACTAGTAGTGTAGTAGTAGTAGTAGTAGTAGTAGTAGTAGGAGTAGTAGTTGTGGTAGTGGTAGTGGTAGTGGTAGTGGTAGTGGTAGTGGTAGTGGTAGTCGTAGTAGTGGTAGTAGTAGTAGTAGCAGTAGTAGTACTAGTCGTACTAGTAGTAGTACCAGGTCGTACTAGTAGTATTAGTAGTAGGAGTAGTGGCAGTAGTCGTACTAGTAGTAGTAGTAGTAGTAGTAGTAGTAGTAGTAGTAGTAGTAGTAGTAGTAGTAGTAGTAGTAGTAGTAGTAGTAGTAGTAGTAGTAGTAGTAGTAGTAGTAGTAGAAGTAATAGTAGTAGTGGCAGCAGTAGCAGCAGTAGCAGCAGTAGCAGCAGTAGCAGTAGCAGTAGCAGTAGCAGTAGCAGTAGCAGTCGCAGTAGCAGTAGCAGTAGCAGTAGCAGTAGCAGTAGCAGTAGCAGTGGCAGTAGCAGTAGCAGTAGCAGTAGCAGTAGCAGTAGCAGTAGCAGTAGCAGCGGCGATGGAGCAGCCGCAGGCAACAGTCAAGCCAGCACTAGCCGTAGCAGATCTGAATCATGCATCAACCCTAAGCCGCAGATGGAAGTACAGGTGCCTTTCTTCCAACTGCGCACAGTGCACCTGCCTGACGATTTCGAGGATGCCATCAAAGAGACCCAGGCAAGGTTTTGAAGTCAGGACTGGCAGAGATTTGCAGCTGTTCGTAAGATTTTGGAAGTTGCCGCAGTGCTGCTGTTTCACTGCCTGCAATGAGGGGGTATCAGGTGTTCATTTGCTTCGCGGCAGTTCCAGCACTCGTGATACCTTATAAATTAGTATGCTATCCTCATTCACGAGGTCAACCATGAAGTGAATACATGAGCTCTCTCCTTCTCACTTGGTACTACCATTCACTTCTCCTTGACAGAACGCCATAGTATTACTACTGTCTCACTCTTAGGATTGAATCTCAGGGTCTCAAGGTGTGACAGGGAGAGTCCGGAAGGCGCAGATAGATGGGGTTGAAGTCCGAACATGAGGGAGTTACCAGGGTCCAATTGGAGCAAACCACCGCACCATGAACACAGAGTAACGACAGAGTTTTGAAGAACAGACGCAGATGTTTTGACTTGCCAGGTGCAAGAGCAGCACATTCATATAGCACGCTTGGAGCAGCAGAAAAAGAAGGCCCGGCCGGAACTGCCGAGCGATGGCAGTCTGCACCAAAGCTCGGAAACTGACTGCAGGTGACATTCGCAACGGAGGTGCTCAAGGCAGAGCAGGCAAGCAATGATGCTGTTTGCTCAGAAAGCATGCTGGGACTTGCGCACAGCAAATCGACTCCACAGTCTGATAGCATTCCCTTGCGAGCTGAGGCGAAGGCTGAAGCTTAAACTTAATCCAACAGGAGCATCAGCAGAACAGCAGCAGCAACACGTGCAGACAGGCATGTGTGATACTTCAGTAGCCTTCAGAATCCTATGTCACCTCCCCCCTTCTCAGAATGGCAGCTGATTGAGTTGAACAGCGCTCCCAGAAGGTTCTCGCATCGCATGTCTAGGGTCATTGGAAGCAGTCACAAAGTGAAGTTTGGGTTAAACCATGCGACCTGGAGCGTCAGGCCGTGAAAAAGATCAACAATGAAGCTGAAGCCACAGAGGGTTCCAACGTGCTCTGCAGTCTTTGACCTCGTTGGCCAATCCCACGACGTGCTTGAAGCTGTGCTCAGGCTGAGGGTGAGGCCACAGCGACCATGACTCAGAATCAGGCGTATTGTCGGAGGCTTACTTGCATGGCCTGAAAGGCAGAAACCACCTGTATTCGTAAATCATGGTGAGGCGAACAGTACAAGTTCATGCCAGAAGCTCGGTGGGACAAGCCTTTGTCGATTGCAGCAGCACTTGGGCATTCTCCCCTTCGTATATTTTCGTTGTTCCCATCCACTCGACAGGCAAGAGCTTCAAGCGGATGCGCTCGAGCCGCTGGGATGACTTCATTATCTTTGCAGGTTACAAGTTTCCCAATTCAGTTCTGGGTTTTCCACATGTGAACCCTAGGACACCTCACATCCCCAAGGATGTTGAAAGCATATGCCAATGCCTTTCCAGATGATCTGATCAGCTTTAAAAAGACGCCAAGGGTTTTCCCGCAGGCCCCGGAACCACTCCCAAACCTGCCCACAAGGATTGACGGAACTTGGAGTGAAGGTTCACCTCACAATTTCAAGAGCAGGTGGTGAAAGCTGGTGAGTGCGGGTTATTGTCTTGCCTGTACAGGCGGCCTCTTATAAGGCTCTTGAGGGGTTGTTTGCAATTTCCGATGTGGGGCTCCCACATGGCATGCCGAGGCCAAACACAACCCCCGAAGGGCACAAACCCAAGCTGTGCGACAAGTGTTGCATGCATGACTCCAGCCAATGATTGCAGGAGGGGTCGGCATAGCTAGAACCATGCATGCTCAGACATGGCAGCCAAATTCAAGCTAGCTCGGGGCTTAGACTTGATGGGCTTGATGGAAGGGGGGGGGGACTTTAGCGGCTTCATTGCCAACCTCGTACAACCTAGATGCACTTCCTGGGTTTGACCCGTTCGAAGACGTCCGCTCTGCACATTGTCTACATGCAACAGGAGTTCGTTGAAGGCTCGCTGTGTCAGACCATGTGGGGCAAAGAGGAGGTGTCGCTGGCATCCCCGTAAGCCGAAATCTATGCCGGCACTCCAACAGGGGTTTCCGCTCCGTGGTTCTTGAGCTGCCGCAGTGCCAGCAACTGTGAATGATTGCGCAATGCCGGACATGTAGAGGTGTTGACAGTCGGACTGGCGACTCCGTTTGGACTGTTTGTGTCCCGCTCTTCTCCCAAGCCACCGACCCAGGAAAGTTCTTGCAGCCAGTGGCTGGGCTGCGCCACAGCTGCTGGACGCCGTTACAGTGCAAGTTCTGTCGCTTTCAGCAATTGGGGACGTACTTGGGGACACCCCATGTTTGAGAGAACTTTGCGCACAATGTCGGGGTTTGCATCTGAAGACTGCAGGACTTCCTCGAGCTGCGTCTCTTGGTGTCGGTGTTTCTTGATGTTTTCTTCTTCTTTTTGGACTTTTTTTTGGGGTGTGACATTAGCCAGAATGGTTCGTCGCGGCCTCTGAGCTTGAAGTGCGCTTAGGTGAATCGGATTGTCGAGTTGCATGATGATCGGGTTGCACTTGGCTTGAGTTTGGGGGCTGTTTGTGCGGGATTTGTGGTATGGGGGGCACTGTCGAGCATGATCGCATCAGCTGATATGTGTTTAAGCTTCGAAGCTCGACGTTAGCCAGGCTAAGAAATGAATTTCAACGAACTTGGAGTTTCTTTTTCAGTGGGTACGTGAGGTGCCGTGCGAGATCATCCTTCTGAGAACACGTTTGTCCGCATTTGAGTTTATCGCCAGACAACGAATCTTGCCGGCTTCCTGAAACAGCATGAAGCAAAAAAGTGTGAGTTGCGCAGTTGTGTACAAGTTTACAAGAATGTACACGACACAGGAGCAAAGTGGGCAAGCCACGCAAGGGACCCTTCAAGACTCTTCAGTCTCAGCTCAGACGTGCCCCGCTGTTTTGACGGCGGCTTGTCAATATGGAAGCTCAAAGAAGCTTGCGGCACTATGCAAAGACAGCGGTGCCTCGATCCCGACTGTGGTCAGTGAGGGAAAGAGTCGAGCAGCCGCCCTCACTTCGCGGAACATTGGGCAATATTGGGCACGCTTGATCTGTTTGCGGTTTGCTGTCGGCTCTTATGGTCAAATCGCTATTTGTGCCATCATGAGTATACATGCAGGGGCAAGCAAAACATTGCACCAGCCAGTAAAATGCCTTCCCCCCTTCCCCGCCAGCATCGACCGTGTTCGGCCACCACGTTGACGGCTACATCTTTCGATTCAAGACACGCTCAGATTTTCGTCATTCAGTTTGTCGTAATCTTGACCATACTCCATTGCGTGCTGTTGGGCGGCACGCGATCCAAAAGGGCAGGTTGAGCTTGAGACCCTTCGCAGCATGAAGTACTTAGTTGGGATGACACGTGTGTGAGTTGCTCGGCTGTCATGTGCTTTCTCGGGAACAGCAGATCTGAATTCAGCACTCCACCTTGAATCCCCCCAATCCCCCTCCCTTCCCACTCTTCAAAAAAAAAGCTCAGCGGAAGGTCCTCGAATACAATGGCAGAGGCCGAAGGCCATGCGGCATGCTTGGCTTTGTTGCGGGCATGTTGAGGGATCTTCAGGGTCCACGCATGTTGGCCAAATTTCAGGTTTTAATGCGAGACCTTGTGTGGGTCGTGAAGGACGTGAACTAATTTGCCCTGATCCCTTCTTTGTAGATCTCTATCGTCTCAATCTTTCTCAGCTTCGACGTGTGCGAGATGCGAGGCCCAGACTTCCAGACAATGACGGTGGAAGGATGGTGTAGCGACCTGAGTCTGAACAGAGGGCGAGAAGAGGGGATACTTGTGATTGCGAGCCCAAAAGGTGAGGAGGCTGTGCGGCGATGGAGCCGAGTTCTTAGTGGCTCTGGTGAGGATGATGGGCAGGCGCAGATGCAGATAGTAGTCCCAAAACTTCGGTGCGACGCCTTTCGTATCTTTCGTCAGTGCATGATGCAGCCTCAGCATCCTCAGCCCGGCTCTCCCGATGTGGCCAGGAGTCCCGACGCTCCAAAGCTGTCTCCTATACTGTCAGAATTCTTCTGGCCGTGATCCTTCTGCTGGAAGCTCAGCCTCTGGATCCACTGCCAGGCAAACTTTCAAGGCCGTCTCGAATTGTGAGTTTCGCATTTGGGAGTTACCGAATTTGCTATGGTAACTCGAGGCCCTCGAGGCATATGGCAAGTGGGCCAAAAGCAAAGCAGCCCCTCCCCACCACCCCAAAAAAACTTGAACGCTTCGCACACCATTTGTCGAAGCCACAGCTCTCAAAGCAGTCGCCTTCCATCGGAGATGACACAGTTTACTTGACTTCAGTCGTGTCTCAACAACGCAAGCCTCGTCTATGCTGCATTTGTCCGCAGTGCGCTGGGGCTCGTTCTTCCGCCGGTGAACGGTCGCATGGCAAGATGTCTTGCTCATGAAGTGAGGTGCGTCTCTGCAGCAGCATGTGCGGGATACAGCCTGCGGGACATCTACCAGGCACATCTTGCCATGCATGCTCAATCACAAAGGGATAAATACGGGCCAAAAACGGGCCTCCGTACAGAAGCAGAGCTATGAAAGTGAAGCCGGCGCTCAAATACGAGACGTGGGGGGAGGCAAAGTGAGTATCAACGCAGGCGGTATCTACATGAGCGCTCACATCAACCTACCGTGGCCAGCTTGTTCTCATGACGAGGACACCCAAACCCGGTAGCTTCAGATGATCGCTACAACTCGCAGCCTTAGTCGTATCCGTTCAGCACTCTCTGGAGGCAAAGAGACCGTCACAGCCAGATTCAGAGGTGTGAAGCAAAGCTTTCACATTGCTTAAGGGTGTTGCCCTGAGAGGCATGCCGCATCCCAGCGGCCCCAGTGGCCCCGGTTCCAGAGGAAGAGCTGGCTCCTCGATCAGGCGGCAATGCTTCGGAGCTGGTCGAACGCAGCAAAAAATGTTTCGAACATGATTGGACATGATCGCTTGCAGTCGGCGTCTTTGCAATTCGCTTCTGAAATCTCCTGATGGAGTTTTCAAGACATGCTGGCACAGTGTTGTGGATTGAAGATTGAAGTTTTGAAGCAGTGCAGCACACATGCTTCGTGATTTGTCTAGCAACCCATATCCCAGGGGGTACTTCTTTGTTTTGCGTGTTTTTTTTGTTATTGTTTTTTTTTTTTTTTTTTTTT